CTCTTGGCTGTTTACTAACCATGGTTATAAATTAATTATCAATTAGAAGCTTATGGGTGATTTATTTGTAATTGCCACATGTCCACTTTTGATTGGATGTTTAGATAGTTACACTTTTGATAACTCAATTTCCAACAACTATTTTTACATCCCAAAAGTAGAATTATCAAAATAGAATCTTAATTTGATAACCCAATTGGAGTTAAAATTTCTATTTTTTAGTGTATAAATAGTGGTTAATGATTTGAATACCGTGTTTGATAATTCATTGGAGTTGCTCTTATATTAATATATGTATATGACGATTAATAAAGAAAAAAAAATGAACAATTTAAAGTGAACTCGAGTCCGAGCTCCAAACTTCGTTCCGCAACATTTGCTATCGATTTTTTTACATATGAAAATGGTGGAAATTAAAATAATCATATGATCAATTAATGCAGGTTCCACCTTCTCTAGACATGAACAAAGGAAAGATTTATATATCAAAGACAAGCCCACCTTGTGTAGTGAAAGCATACGTCTCACAATTCGAGAAAGATTTCTTTCTATTTCTGAGATCGCGGGCCCATGAGATGGTGGCCGGTGGCCGAATGCTACTGTCTTTCATGGGCCACATCTCGCCGGAAGCTTCCACTGAAGTGGGATCCCATCAGTGGGAGCTTCTAGCTCAGCTCTTACTAGTATGGCCTCGGAGGTAAAGATATTGAAAAATCATGAATATTATGATATTTCGTTGTCCCTTATTGGAATTTCACATTATTTATTATATATATTTTTTGTGTTTAGGGTCTCATTGAAGAAGATAGAATCGACTCGTTTAACGCGCCCTACTACGCGCCATCTCCTCAAGAAGTGAGAAATGTAATAGTGGAAGAAGGTTCTTTCTCCATCAATCATGTAGAGGCATTTGAGGTAAATTGGGATGAAGGTTCAAGTGCGTGTAGCGATAGCGCGTGTGACAAATGCGATTTTGAACATGAAAAACTATCGAGGGGTCAACGGGTGGCTATAACTATTAGGGCGGTGGTTGAATCAATGGTAGAGTCGCATTTTGGAAGAGAAATATTGGATGAATTGTTCCGGAGGTATGGGGAACTCGTCGACGATTACTTCTCCAAGACTGTGGCTAAGCACATTAATTTGGTAGTTTCTGTCACGAGAAAATTCTGAATAAAATCATGGAGAAGTAATCGAAGATTAATTACTTCTCCATGATTGTGTCTACACACAATAATTTGTTATTCAAATGTGTTTCTAACTTTTTAGAAATTGCAAAATGGCTTATAAAGTGTCGGAAGGTGTCAGTGTCCGACATAAAACGTGTTTGAAACGCGAAAACATTAATAAGTCAAAGTTTACGTGCTACGTAGTTTATAAGTAGTTGAATTTATGAGATTTTTTTTTATGTGGCCCAACTATATGGACTTGGTTTCTTTATAGTGCCCACATGCACTTATTTGGGCCATAATCTCCAGAAACCCCATACAAAGTTTAGCACAACTAACTAATCGCAATTAATTGATTATTAAAACATATTTAATTGCACTATACATTTTAAAATTTATTTTCTGTTTATGCAACTTATATTAAGTGGTTAATCGTAGGTACTCAATATTGACGGTAATGATTTTGGTATTTTAACTAGAACTTTAAATGATTTTTTTTTTTTAAATAATTTTTGAAATATATATTAAACGTGATT